CCTTTCATACTGGGTGTGGCCTCCTGCTGACTGGAGTACCGCTTGACATCTTTTAGGCATGGAGGCGATGAGACGACGAATGTTGGGGAGTGGTATTGCGCTCCACTCTTCATCCAAGGCGGCAAACAGTTCATCAGGAGTGGCAGGGGCGACAACTCTGTTCCGGAAACGTCTGTCCATTTCGTCCCAAATGTGTTCTATAGCGTTCATATTCGGTGAATTTGAAGGCCATGGGAGTGTCTGGACATTGTTCCTAGCCAGAAAGTCTCTAGTTACTCTGGCAGTATGCGGTCTGGCATTGTCCTACTGGAAGATTGCCCCGGGTTGTTGAAGCAATGGAAGGGCATGTGGTAGGAGGACGTTGTTGATGTAGGCCTGGGCTGCCAGATTACCTTGTACTCTCACCAGGTTGCTCCTGCGAGTGTGGTTGATTGCTCCCCACACGATCACACTGCCACCACCATGCGATAAGGCTTGAGGGGTGCATTCAGTTGCGAACCTCTCCTTTCGATGTCGGTAAACTCGACGTCGTCTGTCGTGACGAGAGATGAGAAAAAATTGGATTCATCACTGAACCATACGTGCTGCCAGTTCTGTAGCTTCCAGTTGACCTGCTGAGTGGCCCATTGTCGTCGCTGTTGGCGATGCCGGTCCGTCAACAATGTCCTTAAAGGTCGATATGCGCGGAGCCCTCTTTCTCGGAGTCGGTTGCGTACTGTCTGGTCGGAAATTTTGATGACATTCCGAAGCGCTTGGGCCGTTGAAAAGGCAGGCATAAAACGATCCCGCAGGTGATGAAGCTGAATAACGCGATCCTGGGCTCGATTTGTTGCCCGTGGCCGTCCACTTCCTGGTTAATTGGCAGTGCAGTTGGACTGTTGAAACCTTGCAAAAAGACTGCTGGTGGTAGACTGTGACACAATGAAATGTGTGGCAACATCAGTTTGACTTTCTCCGGCTTGCAAGCGTCTAATAGCCTGGTTTCGCTCTTCTGTCGTTAGTTGTGGCATGGCGTATCGCTGAACTGACAAACCATTTTTTCGGCCATTATAGAGCCACCCAGTGAATGAACTCATACGCCAAATTTCGTTCGACTGCTCACAAAATTAGACAAGTTTTGAGCCTTTTAACACTCAATTATCACAAAATTCAACAGTTTAGGCTGTGCCTACCTGTGACTGTGAGTAAACAATGAATTTTGTTGTGAAAAGTTCAAGATATGTGTGAAAAAAACCCCAGCATGCACAAAACCTCATCTTTACCTATTTTATTATCACGAAAACACATGGTTATGCTTTTCTTTTTTTGAAGAGTATAAATAACAATTTTCTCCCCTCTTAGGAATCAACACTGGATCTCCTGCTTATGAAAGCGAAGCTCTTAACCGCTACCCCACAGACGCTGGTTCTCTTCCTCTGTATCGATCTGATCCTTGGTTGTATGCTCTGTCATTGGATGCATCACTTTTGCCGATCTAAAGAATGTATACTTTTGCTCAAGACTCCTGGCATTTGGGAATTAGATCCAAAATCACTAAAGTCAGGCACGAATAATTTAAATATATCGGGGGATAACAAACGTCTTCGACACATCCGTATTTCGGGTTAAGGGCTAAAGGTGATGAAAAATTGAAGAGATATCAGTCAGGGAATGGCAATTTGTACGAACTATACATGATTTTCAGTTTTCAGTGTTCGTGTTTTCCTTGCCCAAATGCATCCATTTTTCGGGGTGAAATATGATTTTTTAAAAATGAAATGGATTTATTGTTGCTTTTTTTACAGTTCGTTACATGCGCCTAGTCGTGCTGATTAAGAAAATATATACTTTTGCACACTTTTGACTTAAAACATTAATGTTATGTCACTTTTAAGTCAAAATCAGTTGCGCGTTTCGTCAATGGCGGCCATATTGGAGGCCATTTTTGGTCACATGACTTTGCATATTACGTAACACATTGCTTATCGTGTAGACATTTACATAACCTTTCTGGAAATGTATGATTATCATATGTTTTGCAGGCAAAGTTTTCTTTGAATTAAGGAAAACGGTTGCTAAGTTGTCTTTCTCATGACTCTTTTTGACCCATTTTGGTGCCATCCTCTTGTCTATATAAGTAAGTAATTAATGATCCCCGAAAAATGCCCAGATTCACAACAAAAAAACTTGCATAACTTTTGAACAATTTATCCAATCTGCATGCAGTTTTTTATATTTTTTTCCCAGCTCTTTTACCTGTATTACCTGTATTACCTGTCCTGGGCAACAACGCCATTGCACACCGGACAGGTCCATAAGTCCTCAGTTTCCCCCAGCACCAAAGCCCGCAAGGTATCAATACTGATTGTTCCGTTGGCTGTCTGATTATGGCGACGTCTTTCCTTTCCAGTTAATCGTTCCTTTCTTCCTTCTCCCCTCTCTATCCCCATTTCCCGCATCCTAATGATTGCGTGGTGTTCTGCAGTCTCCTTGTCTTCTTCATTCCCGCAACTTTTTCTCCAGGGTCTTCAACACTTCTCCTTTGTCAAATTTCACCTCACCATCAACCACGACACTGCCTGCCAGCCTATCAGCCTCCTCGTTGCCTTTCACTCCAGAGTGCCCAGGACAGAATATCTACGTGATGGCTCTAAGTGATGAGTGTTGTATTGAGTTCATCCATTCACTCCGAAGAAGCCCTTTCTCAACCCTTCGCAAGATGCTCTGGGAGTCCGTGACAATGATGAGATGAGTTGTTCTTGGTCTCAGCTCTTTTAGCTCTATCTAGTGACATGTATTTTGGTCTAATTAATTGTTTTTAATTTTTTTCGTGAAATCCCCTAAGTAAGATTTTTTTTTTTAAACCATCTCCTTATACGCAACACAATGTCTTGTCGTATGCGACCGTCGCCTGCGATCGGTCTATGTAGTGACCAAGAGTCTCGTCGTGTGCGACCATTGGTCAAAATACCTTGCCCAGGAGTGACGGTCGACACGCCGTGTGTGGTATGGTGTGGTGTTATATATGTGTGTGTGTGTGTGTGTGTGTGTGTGTGTGTGTGTGTGTGTGTGTGTGTGTGTGTGTGCGCGTGATATGTTCTTCTTCAATTCAACCCAATGTAAGTTTTGTGAATATGATTTTGTTGCTTTGTTGTTGTTGTTTTTTAACGGACAGCAGGGGGAGGAGGAAGAAGACTTGCACGGGATTGGCCATATATGAATGAAAAATGTCAGTGGCTCATAAAACTCCCATCTGACGGACTTTGTACTTCCTTGTCCATCTTGACATTAAAACATGCCACTCTCTCTCTCTCTCTCTCTCTCTCTCTCTCTCTCTCTCTCTCTCTCTCTCTCTCTCTCTCTCTCTCTTTCTCTCTCTCTCTCTCTCTCTCTCTCTCTCTCTCTCTCTCTCTCTCTCTCTCTCTCTCTCTCTCTCGTATGTGAATTGCCAGTCGCGCGCGGCTCAGCGTCGGGTCGCGCATCAGGAGACGGTTTGTCGCTTTTGTCGCACGTGACTGAACATTTTGGCGCGATGTGGTCGCACAAAAGAATACACACCTTGAGACTTTCGCGAACGTTGTGTCGCGCATAAGGAGACATAGGCTAAGAGAATGTCTCGCGCACGGTCCTTGTCGCTTAAAAATCAATAAAGTACTCATCAGATTATAAGAAGCCGTCTCCTTGTACGCGACGCGACGTCTAGCCCAGCGCGACAGTCGCCTGCGATCGGCCCATGAAGCGATCGAGACCTCGTTGGGCGCAACAGACTTGGGTTGTGAGCGGTTAAAGAATCACTTACTTTACTTTACTTTTACCTTTATCCGCCGCTTATACCCTTTTGGGTGTCGCGGGAAGAAAGAGACGTCTCTCTGTCGCCAACCGGAGAGCTTGGGTCAGGGGGATGCCGTGGGTGTTTAATGTTTCTCTGACTCCAGCTATCCAGGTCTTTCTCGGTCGCCCTCTAGCCTTGTTGCCATCGAATTTTTTTAGGTATGCACGTTGTGCTGGATGGTGTTTACTCTCTTTCATGTATTTTCTTGGTCCTACTTCCTTTTAAACAGCAATCCGACAGTCCAAGTATTGGTATTCTCCACTTTTTCATGAAAGCAATGAGTTCTGGTTCCTTGTCTTTGAGGCCACACCATTGATCAAAATACCTGGCGAAGGAGTGCCAGTCGACGTAACGTGTGCGTAGTGTGTGATGTGTTCGCGCATAATAATACGGGATGCCTACTACGGATGGGATCGGCCGACTCGTTCGCCTAAAAAGCAAACGTGTTTGTTTTCAGTTCCAGGCGACCGAGTTGGGCGATCGGCCCGATCCAGCCGTAGTGGGCACCCCGTATAACTTAGTACAAGGATACACACCTCGCGACTCGTCGCTAACGACTGCCTTGCGCGACGCGACATTTGGTCGCGCATAAGGAGACACAGACTTACATAAATACAAAATGTACATAGCGTTGTTCGTTAAAAAGTGACAGTTATAGTGAGTACTCTGAATGTTAGGGTTTGCTATGGCCTGCAGAATTATTCATTTCAATTCAGCTATCGTTCAAAGTCTTAGAGATGCTTGGGGCGTTAAACGTCAACATACACACACACACACACACACACACACACACACACACGCACGCACACACACACGCACACACACACACGCACACACACTCACACACACTCACACATACATACACACGCACACACACACGCGCTTGCGCGCGCACGCACTCACACATGATACACTTTCACACACTCATACACACATAGGCAATGGCAAGCACGCACAACATACACATATACACACCTACACAAACACACACACACACACACACACAGACACACACACACACACACACACACACACACACACACACACACACACACACACACAAACTTACAGCTTATAACGTATGTCCATTCTATATTAGCATCAACCGGATTAATAAAAAAAAAAGCAATACCATTCAACTGAAAGTATGTTTGGGTTTTTTTACTTGATCTAAACATAGATAGGAGTGGAATATCAGACAATGCCGTGTGTGTGTGTGTGTGTGTGTGTGTGTGTGTGTGTGTGTGTGTGTGTGTGTGTGTGTGTGTGTGTTTGTGTGTGTGATTGTTCTTGGTACTTCTATTATGACGCAGAATCAGACTTTGATAAAATACACATCCATCCCCGGGTACGCCCCTACAGCCGTGCTCAGTGGGATGTATTTCAAGGCGCTCTTGGACGATTTAAAGCCATGCTCCTCCATAAACTTGTTGACCCTTACAATATCATCGTTCGACTTCGCCAACCACTCCATTTGAATCGCCCGCACATCCACTTGGTCAAAGAATTTGTGAGCACATGACAGCGCTTTAGCTTCGGTTCTCTCGATGTCGATCTTGATAAAGACCTTTTTGGACTTGAGCAAAGGGATCAGGTCGTCGATACAGATGGTGTTTACTGTGACAGTGTGACTGTTGTCCTCCTTCATGCCGTAGCGAGCGAAGTTTGTTTTAGACACGTTCAGGTGTGTCGCTCCGACGTTACCACTAAAGAGAAAAAGACGAATCCATTTACAGGGTGATAAAAAAAAACGCTACAACTTTTTTCTGAATATCTCGCTCAAAAATTGTTTTAGAACGCTGTAATAAGGAACAGCTACAATTCTTTAAAAAGGAATTTGTTTGACAAAAAATCCACGAAGAAGAAACTTATTTTGAAAACTGAAAATGTGTGTGTGTGTGTGTGTGTGTGTGTGTGTGTGTGTGTCTGTGTGTGTGTGTGTGTGTGTGTGTGTGTGTGTGTGTGTGTGTGTGTGTGTGCCGTGGATTATTCTTCGACCGAAAACAACATGAGAGCTCTTTTCAGCACACAAAAACGTGCGTATACAAATTAAGGAGGCGTGAAAATAGTATATATTCACTTTACTAAAGACTTTACATTATCCCGTGTCGTCAATAAGAATAATGGCAACAAATGGCAAGGGTTTAACGCCCTTTTTCAACACTGTAGACGTTGATAAAAGCGGCAGGATCTCCGAATCTAACACTCGTCTTCGACAGGACAGAGCCAGCCAGATAGACAGTGAAAACTTCACAAACATAGCGAGTTTATGAACTCATCGTTGCCCCAGTTTAACACCCAACTATATTTATATACTAACGGCATGCCCTCTAATTTTGTGGGTCTGGCGTGGAACTTGCAACAAACGTTCACACACTTTACCAACTGGCGAGATACGCTATGATATTACAACAGCTTGATTGATGTAGTTGGGTGAGGTTGATTAGACCAAGACTAGATATAGTGTTTTTGACTGAGGTTTTCTTTCAAGGCAGAACGGTTCATATCGGCGTCTTTCATACAGTACCAAAGCAAATACAATAAAAAATGCCCTGCTCTACTTAAAGTGGGCTCACCCTGAGTATAATTGGCAGCTTATACATCATACTATAATAAAAGGTGGGGCCAAAGTTCTGTCCACAAAGGCTATTTTGTGACAATACCAATCGTTTTGGAAAAATACACCTTAATAATAAATTGCATTTACTCAAATGTTAGCCAATTGTCCAGCGTGGGGCTATTTTAGAAACTTGATAAGCGCTGTGTAATTAAATCAGTTTCTGAAATAATTATCACATTACCGTCGAAACCTGCATTTCTGCCCTAATGGGACCAGAAGACGTGTTTTTGACTGACCCACATTGGATTCGCTATGAAATCCATGTTTTACATGCCGACGACCGAGATGTTTTTAGATCTATCGAAACCTATTTGGAAGTGAAGGTGGAAAGTGAAGATACAGATGGCGCATGTATGCCAACAATGTTCTCTACACAGAGGTCCTACAGCAATGAATCAGGTACAAACATTTTTATCTTGTGATTTCCTATCACTATATCACCGTTTGTAGAACGGGTCTGTATCTTGTCTATGAAATGTTTAATTATTGTGTAAGAACAAGTAGGCCTGTTAAGTAATAGAGGCGTTGTTCAAGTTCAAGGACTGCTGGGGTGCGCCGTTAGCTCAGTTGGTATCATGCAGGACTACGGAGTGGATGGCCCTGGTTCGCATCTGAACTTGGGTTGTTTTGTTGCTATTTTTTAGGCTTTCCATCTATTTGGCTCAGTCGTTAAATTGGGAAGTCCGACCTCTTAAATAGTTTTGCAGTGTGGAAGGGGACCACTGGACTGGAACCCCCTCCCTTCCATTTTCACCAGCTGTACCCTCTTTCTCTCTCTCTCTCTATCTCTCTCTCTCTCTCTCTCTCTCTCTCTCTCTCTCTCTCTCTCTCTCTCTGTCTCACTCCCATACAGTTTCTGACCGGATGAAGTTGGCTGTGAGCGAGCGGTGGTCACTGTAGAGGGCGTTGTTGACCAAGGTCACCTGGTCACTCAGTCCACTGACCGCCAGAGAGTTTTGGATCTGATGGACGTTGACGGGCAACATCTCCACGGACAGAACTGTGGCGCCGCTGGCGGCAGCAAACATTGTGTACACCCCGATGTTGGCGCCCATGTCGATGAACTGAAGCTCCCGGTCAGCCTGAGAGGGGATACGGCACAAAATACATGATACAAAAGAGACAAACATAGAAACGCAGGATAGAAATAAGAGGCCCAGGAAGAGAAGCAACAATTACAATGAAAGACACAGACACTGACGGAAGAGAGAATCGGCGTCTGTGGTGAAGCGGTTAGGTGCTTTGCCGTGGCACACACAAGACCCGAGGTCGATTCACGGGTAGGGAAAGAGTTTTTTCCTCGAGCACCTGGGTCTTTCTACCCAGATTGGCCGTGACAGACATGGTCAAAGTCTGCCTTCTAAATAATCTAAAGTATTTCTACGGAGGCGTAACAAATATCTAAAAGGCATACATTTAAAAAGACGTAACAAATTAAAAGCACGCCGAATTGGAATGAGGAAAGACATAATTTCACAGAAAAGAAAGGATGAGACAAGGAGAAAAGTAATGCACAATCATTTTCAAAAAGCGAATGACGCAAAGAAAAACAGAATAGACACAAGAAGCTCACAGAGTAGAAAGAAGAGACTCCAAAACACACAGAACAGAAAGTAAAAAAAATTATACTAATCGCCAGAACAATTTTACAGCAAATAATTCAATGGTAAAAACCCTTCCGATCAAGAAGACAGACAACAGGAATGGATGGGGTACGGGATCGTCAATGTCTGGCCCACACACCCGAAGAAGAAGGAGAAAGAAAAGAAATAGTGGGACTGAGACGCACAGAGGAGAAACAGGAGAAGCGCAAAAACTATAATGGCATGATATAGACACAAGGTAGGCACAAGAAAAAGGAAAAACAACATGTGCGAAAGACGATATAACATTTTTTTTAAATCGGAGGCTGAAATAGTCTTTTACCCATGAACGTAACAGAAATTACGAAAAGTAAGAGAAAAACATAAAAGAAAAAGCTGAAAGACACGCTTTTGGGCAAATTTAACAACGTAAGAGAAATATAGTGAAAATATACCTAACAGAAGCCCAGTCTTTAAAAAAAACGGGGTAGAAAGACAACAGAAGACATGAAGGAAAACGATTGGATTAATCTGAAAGGATAACAAAAACAAGAAATAAAGATGATATGACAAATGAACAGAGAGGGGAAGGAGAAAAGAGCCATTCAGGTATCTCAGAGAAATGCGGAACGATGCAAAGTAACAAACAAACAAAAACAAAAAGAAATACTGACACAATGCCGATCATTGTAAAAATAAAATGAAGGCCGATTTGGCGAAGAAAGACAGAAATAAATGAAATTGAATAAAAAAGGACAGAACAAATTTATGGACGCTCTCTCGTTGATAAAAATCACCTATTGTAACATGTACATTTATATAGTTTATGGGAGCTAACATAATAGTTGGCAGTAGTTTAATAAGGGGGGGGGGGGGGGGAACTAGACCCCCAAAGTCCCGATTCATGCTAAAAATTATGGAATTTGAGTTGTAGGCAATTTTAGCTTCCTCAGTCTCTCCTTCAACTATTTCATTGCATAAGAACCACCAAAAAGCTTATTCCATCCCGTACCTGGCATGTTTGTCACCACCATTTCATTCTAAAGTCAATATTTTATTTTTCTTTATCGGCCGTTTTCTCAAAACGCGATTTTTCTCTATACTTTTTTGAAGAACTCCACCATTTTTCTTCCAACCGTCGTGAAATTTTCACAGAAGGAAGAGAAGATGTAATACTAGAATTTTCGTAGTAAAATATTTGATATATGGAATAGATTTTTGTTGGTGGTGTCTGGAGTGTAGATTTTCACGGATTTTTTGCAAACTTTAATACTACCTCAGGAAATATTTCATTAAAAAATGTTTAATTCGTTTAGGCAAAAAACCAACAGAAATTTTTCATAATCTAATGTTTTGTTAACACCCTTGCAAAAAAAACATATCAACTTCCATGAGGAATACGTGCTGTATTCATTACGTAAGACGTGTCAACAGAATCCAATATGGCTGCCGTATCAATGGAAACGAAACTTTTTTCTCAAATTTGATTGCGGATTTTCAAACTCCTTACTATGTTTGTTATATATGTGATATTTGGTAAAATCTGGTCCACTAATAAGCAAGACAGCCTTCAAGTGTAGCTAGCCC